TTTTTCCAATACTCGTTTTATAAAAGACAAAATGTTCTATAGAAGACAAAATGTTCGAGTTCTGTCTATTGAAAGGAGATACCGATATTGAATCGCGAAAATGATATGGAAAAGAAGTACCCCATTAACTCCGAATAGAACGTTGAAAATCGATTTTGTCCTCGTTAAGATGTCCATTATCTTTTACTTCATTCGCAAAATCGAACAATTTTCCTTCGATCTCCGCGGCATCCAAAAGGTCTTGAATGCTTTTTACCAAATAACTCAATAGAATGGAAAATGTAAGGAGTTGTAGATTCATATTAAAGAGGAATTTAGATCAAATAAATGATTTATTTGATTTTAATCGAGGATTTATGTGGGATGAATGGGTTACATATTCCATGAAATGAAAAAATTCGTATTAAAAATTCACAATTTGAAGAAAAAATCAGGGAAAATCGGAATTCGAGTCCTCGTTAGGGTGTCCATTATCTTCTACTTTACTTGCAAAATCGGACAATTTTGTTTTAGATCTCCATGGCATTTAAAATTTCTTCAAGGCTTTTACTAAATAATGTAATAGAATAGGAAAACATTCGATAAAATATATCAAATGTTTAAGCATTCGATGAAATATATTTTTTTCGGATTTTTTGCGAGCTGCGTTTTTGCGAGCTGCGTTATTTTATGAAAATGTGATTTTCTTAAAATAAGGAAACCGTTTATTTGTTCAAAATAAATTGTTTGTATAATATAGGGGGAAGTGAAGCAAAATGAAGCAGTAAAAATACGGCTATTTGATGCAATTCAAGCAAAAAATAATAATTTTATTAAATTAAATGTTATTAAACCCTCGTGACCCTTTTACTAGTAATTTCATTTCAATTTTTTATTAAATTTTTTTTGTTTCTTTTTATTTCCATTTTTTTGTATTTTTTTTTAATTCTGATGAGAATTAAAACAAGTTAACAAAAAAAATATAACAAAAAAAATTTTTTTCTACTTAAATTACGTCAAACAGTGGTTTTTTTGACTGTTCCATTTTGCCCGCCTCTCCCCTAAGGAAATCCTTTTTCTTGAAATAACTAAACAAATTCATTCATTTGCAATAAAAATATTCTCGAAATAAATAAAAAATTTCAAACAAAGATTTTTACTTGATTAAAAAAAAACATTTTTTTGGCTGCACCCAAACATTCCCATAAATCCATCAACCCCACCCCCACAAAGTCGCTAATACCATACCTTAAGTAAGGGTTCAAAATAGTTGTTAGTATGCAGAGACGACAAGCCCTCAGAATGAATGGTAACCCAGTCCTCGCTCGGCACAAGAGGTCCCCCCGATCGATATCTCCTCCAAAAATCACAAGAAGGTGGAGAAAAACTGGCTTTTTCTCCCCCTTAAAACCCGGGCTAAAGCGAAAATGGCAAGATCGAGGTCAGACGCAAGAGAGAAAGGTAGGTCGATTTAATTTTACGAACTTTTCACTCCCCAGTACCGCAGTACTTGCACGTTCGACTCGCAGCTACTTGGCTAGTCGTGCCAAGTACGCCACTGAGAATTCGTCGCTCGTTTCATCCCCCGTTGCCGAATAGTTTTCAACTTTCGACAGCCACCGCTGCCATCTTTCGTTACTTCATCCTCTCCCTTCATCCCGCAAGCCTCTTTAGACCGTTATGTACGGTCGTGTCTCATTCAGCGAATAAATTTTCAACCGAAGACCCGATGACGGCCACTTTGATGCAACTGCAGCGGCTGAGGTAAGTGGCTCTCGCATTTTAAACTCAAAAGAGTTAAGTTCCTCTGTCCTAGTACTACTAATGAATCTCTTGGGGTTGAGGAGGAGCGAGTAAATAGAGAATCTTGCGGAGTTCTTTGATATTCCGTGAGTTCTTATGACGATTCACTCAGCAGATGCCGAGAAGATTAATAAAATGTCTTAACACGGCTAATTGATGTTGCCTGGATGAAAAGAGAGGGGGGGAGGGGCAATGGAGCTTTTAAATGTACCCGAATAAATTTTCCCGGGCATCAGTGACATCCACGGTTATACGTGCAGTCGGACAGGTACGTGACAACGAATAAATTCTCCAGTCCCAACGGTATCAGGTAATAAATTCATTTTACTCCTGGTGGAGTCTAAAAATGAAAAAATTTGGCCAGCTGAGTTACAGTTCATTCGCGTATGCTAATTGATCAAAATATCAGGGTGAATGGAAATATTTTGTAGTGCTTGATGTGCCGAGGGGAGGGGGGAATTATTATTGTTGATGGGAATTTGTGGAGTTATCTGGCAATTTTGGGTGTTTCAGTGGTGTCAACTCAATTCCAGATGTTGTAGATAACGATAATTTCTTCTTTTATATGAGTAGATGAGGACCAAATCAGCAGGACAAAAAAGTTTATGCTGGGAATTTTCGTTTCAATTTTTTTTGGTAAAAATGGCGATTAGACAAAAATTTTGAAAAAAAACAATCGAAAAATATGGATAATTGAGGGAGTTATAATTTTTTGAAAATTGACAATTTTTGTCCAAAAATATTTGTTTTTTAAAATGGCCCCAATATTTCTGCGGGGTTTCACGCTACCAAATCGTCCTTTGGCACACGTAAAGACCATGAAAAAACCTTCAAAGTGAGATGTCGTACGTAATATTATCTTCAGTTTGACGGGATTTATACGAGAAAATATATTTTTTAAATCGCTGATCACTCAAAAAGCTGATTTTTTATAAATCTAAATTTTTCACCAAAAATTGCCTATAAAATTGTCAAGAATTTTGGCACCAATTAGAGTTTGAGACAAGGATTGAAAATGACTATCGTCCAAATAAGTGAATATTCAATTAAATATTAGCAAATGGTGGAGGTTAGACTCATTATATTCTCTTATTCATCTTCAGTGTGATTTTTTTAGTGAAAAACTATTATTTCTCTAATTATACAATGGAAATACATTTTTCAAAGAGCTTTCATTTGTTGGGAATCAAGAATTCAATTTAATTGACTCATTTTTAATTATTCAATTGAATATTCAGATATTTAGGGGATAATGGCATTAATAATAGCGATTTTCAGTCATTTTTAATAATTGTTATTCCAAAATTCCTTTCATTTTATTGACAATTTTTGGTGAAAATGTCAGATTTAAAAAAAATCGATTTTTTAATAATTAACGATTGAAACGTATTCTCCTCAGCAATTTTGGGAAAGTCAAAATTAACGAAGAATTTCTCAAATTTTAAATTATCCCAAAGTTTCGACTCCCAGAATCAAAGGACTTCCACTTCATTCTTCGGTAGTATCAACTACAAGTTCGGCCCAAAGGCTTGTAAATTACTACACACCTAGTGTCTTCTTCAAGATGAGGAGAAATTCGAAACACGTAGGAACTTCCTCCGTCAATGCAGATATGAAGATCTAGTCCCAAACTTTATTGTTGCTGAGGGCGAAATCACCGTTCACTTCTCTAATGTTAGTGCTAAACTTAAGTTCGACACTAAATTCGAACTGAAAGTTTAGGCCAACATCCGTACTTTTAATGATCAGTATGTATTTATACAAATTTGTAAAAATGTCGAAATTTCAAATGACCATAACTCGCGAACTACGCAAGCTAGAGCAAGAAAAAAAAAGAAAAATGCTTGTTTTCAGGAGGTCTATACACTCTGTGAAAGTCCTGAGGAAGAAAAAATAGGAGGTCGCACGATTTAGTCGATCGGGCTGGAATCTCCCAAAATATACTTGACAATCTTAAAATAAGGTATTATTTTTCGGATGTACTTTTTCCACAGCTTTTGTCTCCATGTATTTATTTCATTAAAATGAAACATTTTCCTTGCAAAAAATGAGAAAATAAAAAGTAAAGAATTTCCTTCAATTCAAATGCGCCATTTCTCTAGGTACAGTACATGAATTAACTTCACTCAATACATTTTATCACCCCCCCCCCTTGCTGCACCCACGGAGAGAAATATTCAATAACAATTACGTATCTTTTCCGAAATTCCAGAGCGAAATGTGGTTGTAGGAAATTTTACGGAACTGTCATGAAATTTTTCCAGAGCGTTCCGTAATTATTATCTGAATGTCCAGTGAAAAATTACGATACCGTCACTTAAATTTCCTGAGTCCATTCCGTAATCAGTGAGTGAATTGAAGTTACGTAATTTTTGTACTTCCTCGAAATTACAAAACAACTTGAAGCAAATATCATGCGTCAAGTATCTCTGTACTGGTGTAAAGTACCTCAGTATTTGTCACAAGTACTTTTGTTACTTGGGACAAGTAAAAAAATTACTTGTACTGAGGATTTGGCCGGCTCTTTTCAAAAGTACCAAATAAACTCAATATAAGTTACTCAAAAATGTTTTTCTACCTCTTCTAAAAACCGAATTTCGTCAAAAATTCAAAAATCCAAATAATTCCCTTTTTGTGAGTAATAAAATTGAAAAGAAATTGAAAACAATTTTTCGAAGCCTTTTAAATGTTGATAACAACATAAAACATAAAAACCTCAACAAAATTGAAATTTTCCAGGTTGGAAAGCATACCAATAATTCTCGAAAGCATCCATAAAAATCGCAATCTATTGATTTTTTCCTACAAAATATCTTTTGCTGAACATTTCTATATACAAAAATGCGTAAGAAAGCCCATTCTGTCCGGTAATAATATTCACATTTTTCAATAAAGTAATCAATTGAAAGTACTGAAATTAAGTCCTAAAAGTACTTGAGAGAAGTACTAAAAGTACTTGTGAAAAGTACTAAAAGTACTGGCAAAAAGTAGTGAAGCTATTTCCCCCACTACCATTTCTACTCGATGGGCAGATGTGGTATTTCACCCAAGGGCACAAAATGTACTTGGAACGAGTATTCTTGAACTTTTCAAAAGTGAACTTCCCCCAAGTACCGGTCGGTACTGGTGATAAGTGCTTTTTTTGGGTGTGATTGTGTACCATCCGTGCACTTGTGGGAATCGAAAATGCATTATTGTAAAGGGAGCAATGGACTCACCGAGGAAGGCACTCTCGTCATTGTCGAGGTCAAGATCGAGATCTGAGGATTGTCCGTTGGTATTTGAATGCTGATTGCGCGTTACGAGGTCCATGTCCTCGATATTGGACTGGCACTCGAGATGCCGTTGCTCCAGATAGCCAGCGGCAAGGAGTTCAGCCAACAGGGGCAAATAGGGGGACGTAAGTAAACGCGGGCTCGTTCCACGCACACAGCCAGGTATCCAGAGGCCAAGGAGACCACAGGGTACCGCGGGTACCGCACCCGCACTCACGAAGCCACCGTTCAAAAGTTCACCGCACAACATAGGTATCACAGAGACTCAACTATAACGAATGGGTCTGTTACCGCGCCGATGAGGTGCCGGTTATCTGTGAACATGAAAAATTAAACATCTATTGTTATCTATTTAATCAATCAATACCAATACACGGAGAGAAATATTCAATAAAAATTACGTATCTTTTCCGTAATTCCGGAGCGAAATGTGGTTGTAGGAAATTTTACGGAACTAACAAGGAATTTTTGCAGGGCGTTCCGTAATTTTTATCTGAATCTACTGTGAAAAAATACGATACGGTCACTTAAATTTTCTGCACGAAGAGAAAAATTCAATATTACGCATCTTTTCCGTAATTCCGGAGTGAAATGTGGTTGTAGGAAATTTTACGGAACTGTCACGGAATTTTTCCAGAGCGTTCCGTAATTTTTATCTCAATCTCCTATGAGAAAATACGATACGGTCACTTAAATTTTCTGCACGGAGAGAAATATTCAAAAAGAATTAAGTATCTTTTCCGTAATTCCGGAGCGAAATGTGGTTGTAGGAAATTTTACGGAACTGCCACGGAATTTTTCCAGAGCGTTCCGTAATTTTTATCTGAATCTACCGTGAAAAAATGGGATACGGTCACTTAAATTTTCTGCACGAAGAGAAAAATTCAATATTACGCATCTTTTCCGTAATTCCGGAGTGAAATGTGGTTGTAGGAAATTTTACGGAACTGTCACGGAATTTTTCCAGAGCGTTCCCTAATTTTTATCTCAATCTCCTATGAGAAAATACGATACGGTCACTTAAATTTTCTGCACGGAGAGAAATATTCAAAAAGAATTAAGTATCTTTTCCGTAATTCCGGAGCGAAATGTGGTTGTAGGAAATTTTACGGAACTGACACGAAATTTTTCCAGAGCGTTCCGTAATTTTCATCTGAATCTACTGTGAAAAATTACGATACCGTCACTTCAATTTTCTGAGTCGATTCCGTAATTGGTGAGCGAATTGTAAGTTCCGTAATTTTCACTGAACATTTCTCTCCGTATAACTTTTGCACGGCCAAGGGAGTGTTAAAATTGAATAAAATGAAAATCAAAGAATATCGATAAGGGTAACACCAATCAATCATATTTATGATCTCGTTCTCCCGCAAGGTGGTGCTCCCAGTTCTTATCAACAACAAAAATTCTCATTGGTTTACAAATTTTCGAACTCACATAATGACGAAAATCCGCGAAAAGGCCATATGAGACCGGCTCACAACTTTTCACACATTATGAACTTTTTGCGCTGCGCCTCAGTTGCGGCACGATAATGTTCGCCAGAAAACTTTGAAACCTGCAGCAGTGTCATGCGATGAAGAAAAAAAACACCAGAAGTTGACGTTTATTATCACCGCGCGGGGCGTGACGATAACGTGTGCCCAGCTAGATCGTACGTGGCACGATGATCCGAGTGTAGGATTAGCTGTCTTGCACAGAGAAAAAAGTTGGGAAAAAATTACCAAACCAGTCAAATAATCGTGGTGCGAAATCCATTTCTAGACCTTTCTCACCCTACACCGGGGCACAAAGTGCGAGATGAATAGTGAATTTGTCACCGCTGACTCAGGAAAATTTAGTAAACGTGAGGGTGATTTAGCCAAAACTGCAAAATTTGCCATTTATGCTATTGCAAATTGTTCCATGCACGTGAATAATGAAGTCTCAAATTGAAACGATCAAGTGTCAAATTGAAAGAGTCAAGTCTAAACTTGAAACCTTTAAGTCTCAACTTGAAAGCTTGAAGTTTCAACTTGAAAGCTTCAAGTCTCACCTCCAGATTTTAAGTCTCGAATTAAAGTCTTCCAAAATCTAAAATTACCACTTTCAGAAATCTTAAATTGAGATTTCCAAGTTTGAGACTTTCGAAACTTTCAGCTCAAGACTATCGGGCTTCAAATCAAGACTTTCGAAAATCTTATTTTGAAACCTGTTGAAATCTAAAAATAAGGTAATATTTTTCGGGCGTAAATGTGTTTTTTTTAAACAAACAAATCGTAAGATATCCTCCACAAAAAGGGTTGCGTATTAAATTAGAATTTCGCTCCGCGATTACTATTGGTATAGAAAAATTTGCTGCGATTTTTAAGATAATGTTTATTCGACTTGTCTCTCTGCATGGAAAAACGCGTGTAGTACTTTCCATTGGAGCCGGCCAATGGTTACTGGCTCCTAGCATGACGCCATTGAGCCCGACAACCTCGTGGGTGCGGAGGCACTCACGTCGCATTGTCAAATGCAACAGGGCCGTAACTATCTCGTTTTTGCAATGAGGAGGTCGCAAAATATTTCTTTCCCCGGGGACGAGCATGGTCGTCAGGTACTATACAGAAGATTCAGCCAGAGTTGGGACGATGGTGAGGTCGTAACACGATCCGGCCTGTTTATTCGTACGAGGAAAACATTCAACTGAGACTATACAATGCAGATTTTATGCAGAGGAATCAGCATACCTGAGGGCGCCCACACTCGACTACATTTCCAAGTCATGAAGTCATTAAATTTAAAGGGCAACACTTCGATATCGATAGTAAAATTATTCTCATATTTCATTCGCTCGTATTTTCTGCTATCACATATCGATGCGTTCTAATGGGAAACTACGGTGAGAGGAAGAAGGATCTAATGTCACGAAACTAATTTCTCAAGCTATGCACTGAGAGAAAAATCTGAAGTCCGATTTAAAATAAGAAAATAGTTGAGGCAGTTTTGGTGAACGATACGATTTTTTTTTGTCTGCGGCACATAACATTATAATACCTTCACAAGCGTAATTTTTGCAAATCAAAATGCAGTTAAACTAATCAAATTTCAAAAGTAACCACGACAAATCTATCGTGAGTAGAACTATAAAATAGTTGCAATGACTACATTCCATTGTAGTAATCACTTCTCCGGCCATAGTTACCGTAACTCATGCAAAATTGTTGAGGACTTTTTGACTATAGTTCGATGGTGACGGAATATAGTCAGAAGAATCATATTTTTCTCTCAGTGTAATAGTGTCAAGTGAGTATTTATAACTCATTCTACGTTGGGTCAAAATTTGACCAATAATTCATATTCTTCCTCAGGGTAGGTCAACAATATTTTTAGAGGGGAATGTCAAACATCGAGAATTATGATTAATCCACATGATAATTAACATGAATTTGTATTTTTTTTATCATCGAGCCACTCTAATGAAAGCGTGCCTGAGGTGTCCAACCTCCCTGACAAATGACTTAGATATCAGCATTCTCTAGGGCGGAGTTCGCCAGTCCGACAAATCGTCCAAAAAGTACGTAATTTGCGTTTGTTATTCCGACAGCTGGGAATACGATAAATATCGAGGAGAGTTCAATTCCCTCCCATGAACTTTGTGACAAAACACGAACGAAACATGACACGCAACTAAGACCCTCAGAGCACCCTCATACGAAGCCCTATCAGCGAGTCAATTTGGGGAATTTACGGGTTTTTAACTTTTGAACATCTAAATTGCTATTAAAGTACGTTTCCCTCTCCGGAAAAATCCACTCCGACTTAACAACCGAATATATTTGTAAAGAACTCCAGAGACAATTCCAAATACCGTGAATAACTTTCGAAATTTCTCCGGTAATATTCTTCAACTCCTGAATTATTCAACGAGCCTCTACCGACAGGAAGTGGGAGTGAACTTTTTTTTATATCACGGGAGCATTTTTTTTCCCTCATCCACACTTTTCTCCTCCACAAAATAAATCCTTTAATGAAAAATTTAGTGTAACGCTTTTTAAAGCCAATCTATTCTGTGTATTGTGTTATTAGATTTTTTATAAATGATGCTAGCACATCTTACAGATATTATGATAATATTGTATTATGTTATATTCTATACTATACTATTTAATAATACATTGTGCATGTATAATTCTATATGTAATATAGCACAATATCGTATACTCAATGTATGTTATTATTATTATCAGTTTATTATTATTTTTTTTATTATGTACATTATATTTTTTAATATAATATAGCATTATCGTAATATCTTTAAAGTATGCTATGATCATCCTATTCATCAAAGATGAAAGGAACGTGAAGTAGTCGCTGAAAAAAATCCCCGGTATTTTCAAATTCTTCAAATGCCAAAAAAATTTTCTGCATCATATTTTTCATTTTTTCATGTGTGAAGTTTTTTTTTATATCAAAACATATCTAAATTGCCTAATTGTTGAGCATGAAAAAAAAACAGTATTTCTAAATTTTTTAACTCACAAATTGATTTTCATTTCCCAAATTTTAATTTTTTCATGTTTATCATATGCAAAAATGATCAATTCTTGCTTCTCAGATTTTCATACATAAATTCTAAACTCTACAAAATTTATGAAAATTCTTCGGTTTCCCAAGTAATTCGAGAAAAATCTTTGAAGATGTGCGCTTATCTGAAAAACCGTGAAATTTTCTGAAGAATTCAAGAAATTTCTTCAGTTTTCTAGGAAATTAATTCATAATCCTCCCCTCATTTTTCAACAATTACAGATTTTATTCAGCTTATTTCAAAAACTAAAAAAAAGAATTAATCGAAGATTAAAAATTATTCATTGATGTTTCCCTCTTCATTCTCTTAATTCTCTGTAAGTCATTATCAATATTTACAAAACATCTATGAGTATATGAAGCTTAATAAATTCGATTTCTTCATTTTCACAACGAGTAGATAAGCGCGCGCGAAAGCGCAGGCACGGGTCTAGTTTATAAAAAATCTAAAGACAAAAAACGTCACACTAGATGTATTATATATAAAAAAATAGAATACATTCCTGAAACTTTTCCTTCGGAAAACATGATATTCGTACTTTTTACAAAGTACTTATAATATAAGACTATTCACTACAATTGACATATATTAAGCCCCATGGCAACACGCGTGCAGAGCGCGCGGACTAATCTAGTATTAAGAAAAAGGTACGAAAGTGGAGATGAATTTTCGCTTATATCTACCATCCATTCCGCTGCCGTGACTCTTCTTACAATCCAAATAATACAATTTCATTTTACTCCTATCTTCTATATTCCATTC